TTCTACAATGCAGTGCTAGTCTACATTTGCAGTTCTTTTTTATTATTATTATTAATTTTTTATTGTGAAAATACCGTACAGGGGGTTACAATTATATGAGCAAGATAATGAGTACATTTCTTATCAAGCATTGTTGCCTCCTCCTTTGTTTTCCTTCCCTTCCCATCCCTGCCCTCCCATCCCTCCAACCCACCCCCCACCAAAGTTGTAAAGTTCGTTTTTCGACATAACATCTTGTACATCTCATTGTTACAATGGGTCCACCTGTATCCCTATCTAAATAATTTGTTTTTTCCCTTCCCCTCCCCAAATTATACCAACATCAAATACAGTGAAAGCAGGGGTTATACCATGGGGGAAGGACATACAAAGCAACAAAGAAATCATTTTATAAATATGTTAGAAACAATAGCAAGAAAGAAAAACAATTTAAGTCCTTATCTTGGGGTTCATTTCACCTAACGTCAACTTATCTGACGGTTTCTGCTTGACTCAGACATATACTAGTAATTGCAAATAAGGGAAACCATGGGACCTATGTTTCTTTGGGCCTGGCTTAATTCACTTAATATAATTTTCCCCAAGTCTTTCCATTTCCTAACAAATGGGGCAAGGCCATTCTTTCTGTTGGAGGTATAGAATTCCATTGTGTATATATACCACATTTTCTTGATCCATTCATCTACTGAGGGGCATCTGGATTGGTTCCATATCTTAGCTATGGTAAATAATGCTGCAATAAACATAGTTGTGCTGGTAGCTTTAGTATGGTCTTGTTTGTGATCATTTGGGTAAATGTCCAAAAGTGGGATTGTTGGATCAAAGGGGAGCTCTTTGTGGAGTCTTTTAAAAGTTAAGAAAAATTTTGTTCATTATATTCAGACTCACAGATAAACCCTGGTATGAGTTTTTAATGGTTATGCAATGCAGTAGGTCCCCTCTTAGTTCCATACTTCCTAGAGTCATTTGTTGAGGTCCTATTGGTTATTTTAAAAGTAAGCCAACCTGTTAAATCAGAGCTTATAACTTCTATGTTTCTTTTATCTAAAGATAATTTGGCTAGCATTGAAGAAAAACATCTTTCTAAAAACAGTGAGTTTATTCAAACTCAGTTGTGTGTGTGTGTGTGTGTGTGTGTGTGTGTGTGTGTATTGGAATTTGACCTCAGGGCCTCATGCAATTGCTCCACTTTTTCACTCCTGGCTGGTCATCTATTATTTGAGGCACCACTCCAGCCTTACTCATTCAAATTCTTAAGGTATAAACATAGTGAAATATTATTAGTTAATTTTCAGCTATATTGCTTTAGCAATGGGTTTGTTTTTTAGAAACAGAACTTAAAATGAACACATTTTTTAAAACTTAAACTCTACTTTTAGGTAGGAGATGCAGAGTAACTTACAGAATTCATTTTGATAACAGACATACTATATCTGTTAAGATATTGTATGTATTCGCAGACAGACATGCTGTCAGTTGCTATGATCAGTTACTTTATCAGTAATTGAAGATAATTCTCAGATATTGAATCCAGGTGAGTCTCCAAAGGGACACTCACTTTCTTCTCTAATCATGTGTCTCAAGATTACCTCATATTTTTCTTTGTAGATAGAATGCATAATATTCTGGCTTCTATTGAGGAATTGCTAGCAAATGTTAGCATGTGGCCATTTGTAGGGGAAGCAGCAGAAATCAGTGGGATGGCAGTTCTTCGAGGGAGGGTATGGTTGGGTTGCTTTGGTGGTGAGGATTGCTTGCATGCGAACATGTCATGAAGAAGTTTACCAGGTAAATATACCAGGTGAGTCAGACAGAGAGGAGGAGGTGGAGAACAAGTGACAAAGAAAAATAGAGGTGATAGTTGATTTCAGCTTCTAGGCTGACCTTCAAGGAATTCCTTCCTTGTCAGCTTTGCAGGGCTGGATCATTTCTCATTCACATGACCTGTGACCTCTGGGCTCATTCCTGTATGTGTCCTCAGGAGCACCAAGGACAGACATTCTTCTTCTCCTCTTAAGGACAGTATAGTCTTTTTTACCCTCCCTTGTCAGTCACCAAGTTTCCCACATTATCTGTTCTTCCTAAAAAGAGGGTGGAGCTGAAGCTAAATCTTTGAAACTCCTTTTTCAAGAACAAAGAGAGGGTAGAGACTGACTGCTCAGTGAGAAACCTATCAGCTTGAGCTAGGCCTTGCTTCTGAATCGTCATAGGTTACTCAAAGTATTTACCAACTGGACCCCATTTTTGTTGCCTATCATGGACTGAGTCCTGTCTCTGGCCCAGACTCTATAACGTGATATGGATTTTCAAAAAGTTGAATGAAATCATGTTTATAAAGAATGCAAGAACACTACAACAAAAAAACTGAAAAATATTATTAAATAAACACAGAAAGTACTCATAGTAGTTAGTACTATCAATAGATTTCTTCTTCCTCCTTCTTCCTTCCATCTCTCTCTCCCTCCCTCCCGCCTTTTCTTTCTTTCTCTTTCTTTCTCTCTTTCTTTCTTTCTCTTTCTCTTTCTTTTTCTTCCTCTCTTTCTCTCTCCCTCCCTCCCTTTCTCCCTCCTTCCTTCCTTTCTCTCTCTCTCCTTCCTTCTTTCTTTCTTTCCTTCTTCCTTTCCTGTGCTGATCCTAAGGCTTAAACTCAGAGCCTGGCTGGCTTCCAACTGTGATGCTTAAGTCTCAGCCTCCTGAGTGGCTAGGATTACAGGCATGAGCCACCAGCATCTGCTTTTTAGAGTATTTGGAAGAATGTTTGGCATTGTTATGTCTTCCCTTCCATCTTTCATGTTATCTTGTCCTTGTTTGAAAAATATGCCTTGGTGAAGAATTTAAAATAGGAAAGTATAGTGTAGTTCTATTGACTGATAGTAACACATCCTGCCACAAGGCAGCCGGAGTCCAAAGGCTCCTTCTTTGGAAGGAGACTGGTAATTTGCATTTAATCTTTATTCAGCTGTGAGCTTCCACAGAGCTGCAGGAACAAGGGGTGGAATGCGAAGTGTTAGCATAGGCCAGCCACCCTACCCCCCTGACTCTAAGTTGCTAATGTCCATTGATTTCTTAACATGTACTACAGATTGTTCGAATCATCTCTTATATATTCATTCATGGAGGCCTCATACCAACTCTGTTATAGAGTTGCTGCTATATCATGTAAACAACCTCATGAATGTGAATGCCCAAATGTCACATGGTACTGAGTGGCAGATGGGAGACAAGATTCATCTGGGTAACCAAAAGGCCCACCTCTCATTTCTAGTATTGAATGCATAATAATATTATGCATTCTTACGTAGATCATCCTAATGGATAGAGACATTTCCAAAACACAAAATGAAGATTCTAGTTTCAGTAGTGTTGAGTTGTTAGAATAATACCTGGTTCTAATCCATTGCAGCTTTTCTCTTTTTTGCCCATACCTCATCTCTTTTTTATATCTAATGTTCTTTATTCTGCATATGCTTTCTCCCTTTCTTCTGCTCTCTTTTTTAAAAAAAATTATTAAATAGTTGTAAAAAGGAGTTGCCAGTAACAAAACAGTTTATAGATACAATGCATCTTGATCAGCGTCATCCCTTTCAACAATCTATTTCCTTATTTTGGGTAGTAGTGAGGTTCTTGAATATATAGCCTTCTGTTCATGAGGTAAGACCTGTACAATTTGAGCCATTTCCCTATCTATTTTATGATCTAGCTATTTTTTTCAGTTCAGGGCTAATATAACCCGTGATCCTTCTATCTATGCCTCACAGGAGAAAAATAGAAGAGATATAACCAGCTTATTTATTGAGGTGGGGGATTGGGGAGGATCTAAGAAAACTTTTGCCTGGATTGGCTTCAAACCGTGCACCTCCCAATCTCCCCCTACCAAGTAGCTGGGATTACAGATGTGTCTTTACAAATATTTAAAAATTGTGATACCCAGGATCAAACCCAGAATTTCACACATCCTAAAACACTCTATATCCCCCCAGCCAAACTGTTTAAATATTTTAAACCTGTGTAATCCAAATATCCAGAGTAACTTGGCAAGAGAGACCATCCATTCATAATGGACATTTAGTGTTTGCAACTATTCGTGGATATGCTATTTGCTACCTTTGTCCATTCTAAATAATATTTAGTCAGGTTGTTTTACTGTGCGGCAGGTATAGTTCCTCTTTATTGACTTCTTTTTAGCACAAGTAATATGTTATTAGTATGAGTATTATATTATTACTACTTAAAAGGTAAAGGCTCAGAGACAAGGCAACTTTTGTGGTCAGATGTGGTCAGGTATTCGGTGGAGCTGGGCACTCCAGGTCAGCTGATTTCAGACTTAAAACTTGAAATCACTATACTACACTGTTCCAAGGAGGCATTTAAAACTATGGGGACAATAATATAGTTTACTGTCTTCTGTTCATTTTCCTAATACAAAGAATCAAGGTATTGCTTGGACCATGGGTCCTGGCAGAGCTTCCTTTTCCCCATGTTGTTGTACCATACTGCAATCCTCAAAATATTTGCCTTTCTCCCTTTACAAGCAGTAGTAAAATCCTTGAAATGGAGTTTTGCCTTTATTTTTGACTTCACAGAATTGACACAATATCTGAGGAGCTTAAAGGTGTATGGTAAATGAACAAATGAAGGCAGTATTAAAAGATGCTTTGATTAAGCTTTTTCTTCCTTGAAATAGGTTGATACCCTCATAATGATGTATAAAACTCACTGCCAGTGTATCCTGGACAATGCAATTAGTGGAAACTTTGAAGAGGTAAGGATGACAAAGAATACTGTCTTGACTAGATTATACATGCTTTTATGTCCTGCTCATAATGAGTTCATCTGATAGGAAAATCTTAACATATGTTCGTTCTCCTCTTTAACTAGATCCAGCATTTTTTATTGCATTTTTGGCAAGGGATGCCTGATCATCTTCTTCCCTTGCTTGAAAATCCTGTCATCATTGACATTTTCTGTGTTTGTGATTCAATTCTTTATAAGGTAAGCTCTTTGGCACATCTTAAACACAAAGCATTTATTTCTTTAAATAAAATTCGATCTAATTTCTTGCAATACATTTATCAGAAATTTAATTCTGACTTGAGATACACTTTCTGACCAGAAAACAAGAATCATCATAACACGTTCTTACTAATGTATGTAGTTGATAGATTATTTTTGTCTGTAACAAAAACTTTCAATTTTAATAGAAATTTGCATTAAGTAAAACAAACTTGGTCTCTATTTATAGCCAACAGTGATTCTAAATGTGTTTTACCCATGTTTGCTAATGTATGACCACTTCATTAATTTGTATTAACTTTTTAAGGTGTTTTCAGATGAAAAAACACCAAGTTCGTTTCATGTCCTTAGTGCTTTAAGGAAAAGCAGAATTAGGCACCTTGTAGGATGAATACCTGAAAATCTTGAAAGATCAGCTTCTATGCATTATTGTCCAACTGTGGTTCTTAACCAAGTAATATTCCACAAATGTCTTACGAAGTCCCACAAAGATACTCAGAGTGAAGTTGAGCCTTTCAGTCAAACGTATAATAGCAGGGAAAGTACCTAAACCAAGCTGCACAGCAACAAGATCCAAGAAGGTAATAGTCACTGCAATGAAATCCAGAAAATGGAAACAAGAGGATATTTTCTTTGTTTTTGTTTTTGCTTTCTTTTCTTTTTGTCTCGTTAGTTCATGTAGGGTAAGGGGGCACAGAAATGGAGGGACAAAGGGTGAAAAAATGCAGCAGTGGTTCTCACTAGACACTGTGTTGAAAAGGAATGATTGGGGATGAGAGAGAAAAACTGAGAGTAAGGGAAGGGGTGACATTGTCCAAATAGAAATGTACTCTTAACCTGACTTATTTAGTAACCCTTCTGTTCATCACCCTTATAATAGCAATTAAAAACAACCCAATAAATCTGAAATAGTATGTCAGCATGTCCTCATATAAAGTTATTTGTAAAATAAAAAACAAAAAGTCATTGCAGTAAAGACCTGGAGCTCATGAACACACATCACCATCAAAGCAAAGCAAATCTGTTAGGAATGTAATTGAGAAATTCCTTTAAAATGTATTTCTGCTCTGTTCTTTTGAGTCCAACACAAAATTCCCAAATATAACTCTCTTAAGATAAATTCAGTTTCTTTTTCTCATGGTAAATCCAAAGACAGAGAGCATTGTAACCACAGCGGTATAAAATGAACTTCTGTGAGATCATCTCACACCTAGAGAATGGCTGCTAGTTAATAAAACTGTACATGATTACAAAGGCCAGTCCACTGGTAATTAACATTAGGTACCTGAACAATACTCTCTTTTGTTTCATTGTCTCATGTGCAACCAGCACATAAATCCTGTCATTTTAGAGAAAAAAAGATAGCTTTCAGAAAAGATTGATATCATTCAATAGGAAGCTAAGAAGAAAGGGTAATTGACATATACTGTGTCTTGCTATATAAATATATCACTAACCATTGCTGTGATTAAGGTTCTTACAGACATACTCATTCCTGCTACAATGCAAGAAATGCCTGAAAGGTAAGTTCAGTGAGAGTGACAGAAAGGGCAGGTAGGGGAGGGATGAGTGAGAATGGTGAAAGGGGTGACACTGATGATCAAGATGCCCTTGTATTCATTAACTGCTTATTAAATGGCAACTCCTTTTACAACTACTTAATGATAACACCCCCTCAGTATTGGTTCTCAGAAACACAACACTTTCTCCTTATACATTATACTCAAGGGAAACATCAAGTAGTGATTTATTCATGTATCTAGTTCTGGCTTAGTGTATTTGCTGCTACTAGTTCTAGTTCTGGTAGCTCATAGACTAAAATTAGAACTATACAAAGATTAGCATGGCCCCTGTGTGAGGGTGACATGTAAAAAAGACTTTGCTACTTTGGCCTCCGTATCACCTTGAAGAGGTGTGCCTCAATATTTGTATCTGAACCTCAGTTCTTAAAAGCGGTAGAATAAAACTTGATATCCCTTTAATCTGAGGGCTGCCTGTTTCATTATGGTATTTGCATATAATGAATTTTAAGCACATTTATCTCCTCCCTGCATTCTTCTTTCCCCTTCCACTTGTCATCTTATTCTAAATGGAGAACCTTCTCCATGAGTAAGCTAATTAATATGAAGTAGAACCTAGATTTTAATGCTCAAACTCTGCCTCTTTTCCTTTATCATTTTACTGCTCCCTAATATATGCACCACCGCAAATATACTTAGAGTTGTTTTATTCACATATGTGAAGATTATATTCCCATATACACAGCCAACATTTGTAAATTTTTACACTGGGCCTGTAATTACTATGCTTTTGATGATTAATGTCACAAAATTATATTTGGATTATAAAAATATGCTGCCAAAATAGTAAATAAATAGACTGTTTTTACCCAAGTGTCATATCTCTTAGCAAGCCAAGATTTGCAATAGTAACCCTGCACTTATATTTTCCTAGAAATATATTATTGTATAAAATGGTTGAATAGTGACTTAATAAGAAAGAATACTTATTGATCCCTCCCTTTAGGCCAGGCTTTCACCTAAGCATTTTCTTAAATTATTTTGCATCATTTTTATAAGAACCCTATAACCAAACACTATTTTTATTCCTGTTTAGCAGGTGAGAAAACTTGAGCTAGAGGGAATGATTTTTTTTGCCAGTCCTGGAGCTTGAACTCAGGGCCTGGGCACTGTCCTTGAGTCTCTGTGCTAGCATTCTATCACTTTAGCCAAAGTGCCACTTTGCAGCATTTTCCTGTTTATGGGTACTTTCATGCATGCTAGGCAAGCAATCTACCACTAAGTCACATTCCCAACCCGGAATGAAATATTTTGAGTAAGGTGACAAATGGCCTTCATACTACATAGCAAATTCAGCCCTACTATGAATCTGTCTGACTTCAAATTCATGCTTTTAGGAGGAGAGACTAAAAATAGTGTATCACTATTAAAATATGTTTATTCAATGCATTTTTTGAGCAATGTACATTTAACACATAAAGGGTTGGATGTTTTTTTTTGGTAGTTTATTAGCAGACATAAGAAATTTTGCCAAAAACTGGGAGCAATGGGTTGTTTCATCTTTGGAAAACTTGCCTGAAGCCCTAACTGACAAGAAAATACCGATTGTGAGAAGATTTGTATCTTCTCTGAAGCGACAAACATCTTTCTTACATCTTGCTCAGGTATGTGGATCTGCTGAGAGTGTTTGAGTCACCCAATCCAAGCATGAAGCGACACACTTAAGATAAATCTTCTCCTGTGAGAAAGGCTAAGGGTTTCTTACAGATTGAGGGGAGCCAACTAGACACAAAAATACAGTGTGTACTTCTAAAGTCAATGTTAGAACTGAAACAGAATTGTTAAAGGAGTGAAGGTTGCATTATGGTTACAGTTTAGGTAGTACTACTGCACTGTACTGTCCAAATGTTCATTTTTTTATTTGGGAAAAATGCAACACTTATAGAACATGATCAGAAGCTGAATGGAGAGTATACTGAAATTCTCTGCCTTACCTTTGCAACTTTTCTGTGATTTAAAATTACCTTGAAAGGTAACAAAGCAATCTGAACTTAACATTTACCTTGTGAATCATTTGTACAAATTAAATGTGGACAACATATTAAACTGATACTAATCTGACTCTATTAAACAGGGAAGAATAACAAAATCCTTACATTACAAATACGATTAGTATTTTTTTTGGGGGGTCCAGTCGTGGGGCCTGAACTCTGGGCCTGAGTGCTGTCCCTCAGCTCTTCAGCTCAAGGTTAGCACTCTACCACTTGAGCCACAGAGCCACTTCAGGCTTTTTTCTTTTTGCTTATGTGGTACTGAGGAATAGAACCCAGGACCTCAGGCATGCAAGGCAAGCACTCTACCACTGAGCCAACTTCCCAGCCCATAATTAGTATTCAATATACTTCTACCACCCTACATGATTGTTTCTATAAAGGTGTTTAGTCCCTAAAATTTGAAATATAAGCTATGAAATATAATGTTTAAAAAATTCTAATTTTGTGACTATGGATGAAACAATTATTTTAATTTCTAAATTTGAAAATGAAATTTTAAATTATTAGTACAGATGAGGTTCATGAGTCTCAATGAATTTTAAAATAAAAAATATCAATGATTCTTTTTATTCAAGGAATTATTTTTCTTCAAGCAGAAACTTCCATATGATAGATAATTAATGCCTTTTTATGTTCTCTGTGTAGATTGCCAGGCCAGCTCTCTTTGACCAACATGTTGTGAATTCCATGGTATCTGATATTGAAAAGGTTGACTTGAATAGCATTGGGTCTCAGGCCCTCCTTACCATTTCAGGCAGCACAGACACGGAATCTGATCTCTACAGTGAACGTAAGTCTGTTTTCTTTATGAAGGACAAGACTTCTCAACTTTGGCACTATTGACAGCATAAGCTTTAACTCTGCCTCGTGAAGACATGTGCTATAGGTTATGCATGCTCAGCAGAATGATACACACAATGTACCCCCTCTTAGGATTTTTTTTAAAGCAGTAGTGATGTTTGAACTCAGGTCTTTACATTTGGTAAGCAGGAAGTTTTCCACTGATCCAGGCCTCTAGATAGCTTTTGCACTGGTTATTTCTAAGATAGGAGTCCACTTTTTTTTTTTTTGGCCAAAAGACTTGAGCCTGGACCACAATTCACTTATTTTGTAATTCCTGTCATACCTAGGATAAAAGTTGCATGCCACTACGATTAGTTTATTCCATTAAGCTGGAGTTTCCTTGATTTTTCTGGCTGGGCTGGCATTCATTTGCAGCCCTCTTGATCTCAGCCTTCTAATTAGTTACACAAACTACTGAACAAGTACAGGCATGAACTAATGGCACTCAGCTACCATTCCCCCAGTTTTGACCACCAGTATCTTCAAATATTTCCAAATGTCCTCTGGGTACAAAATCACATCTGTATGAAAAACACTTTCTATGGAATATATATATTTTTAAATTTGTTCCCTCTATTTTGAAAGAGCTGTGCTTACTTGTCATGGGAAACCTGAAAACTACAGAAAAATTTGAGAAAAATAACAGCATTTTAATACAAATAACTAGAAAGAATCAAAATGGCTTTGAGTTTGAGAGTATTTTTCCAGTTCTTTGCTACATATCTGCAGTGTCATCACATAGTTATGATGCATGATCAAAATGATATCCAAACATAACAATAGCCAAAGTGGAGATACCACATGTATTTGAGTTATTTAACAGATTTTACTCTGCATGGCTATACAAGACTTGGTTTCCAGAGGATAATTTCATCCCTTTCTCTCAGAAAAGACAAAAACTGCAAGCTCCTACAGAATATAGCACAGTGGGCGGCTGTCTAGTCTAACACCAGCCTCATATTTTGTTTCTTAACATAAAATGCCATTATCCTTTGAGATTCAATGAACCTCTGACTCATAATGAAGTGCTAACCTTATACTCTTCCTTTGAATTTGATGATAGAAGAGACTCATGCAAATGGCTTGATTCTGCCATGCAGAATTTAATTTGCTAAAGCTAAAGGGCCTTTCAGAAAGCAAGAAATCAGCAAGCTTAATTTGATTCATTTTTTTCATTATCTTTCAAGGAACCTATTCCAAGTGATGAAACCACTGGATTAAAGATGATTATTAGTTTAAATTAATGTATGTGCCTTTAGAATATGCATGTGTGTGTGTGTGTGTGTGTGTGTGTGTGTGTGTGTGTGTGTGTGTGATATGTCTATATTTCAAGATCAAAATTTTGAAGACTAGAATACCAAGCATTTTGGGTTACTGTTTTTAGAACCTGACATTAATTGCTTTAATAAGGTTTAACTTAGTCTTTTATTATTTTTTTAAATCAATGATTCAGTTGTAGGTTTTTCTTTGGGATAAAAGTAGATGCAATATTCTGTCTTTTTTCTCTTCTTGTTTTGGTATTTAAGACGACTCTATCACTGTGTTCCAAGAGCTAAAGGATCTGCTTAAGAAGAACGCCACGGTGGAGGCTTTTATTGAATGGCTGGATACTGTGGTAGAACAGAGGGTTATAAAGGTACTTTTTGTGACAGATTTAGAAAATGCTTTATAAAAATACTCAAGTAGCAGTTACTGCTTGACTGGTGGGGAAAGGTGATAGGTTATGCGTCAAGATGCTTAGGAAAAAGCATTTGAACCCCACAAATAAGAGAAAATCAGGAATACGCCAGATGTGAGAGTACTGGGAGTGGATTTTATTGTATTTCTCCTGTCTTAGCCAAGTGCTATGTGATGCTTGCCCCGCTCTGTCAGCCAGTGAAGTTACACATGACGAACATCATTAGTGGAAGACAAATTTCAGAAACGGGAGCAAAATCTGTCCCTTGCTTAAAAAGCAACTTTTCAAAAAAACTGACAGAAAAAAAAGATTTTCTGCATTGGCAGTTCTAATTCTAAAAGCTCTGTAGGTTTTTAAAAATTTGGTTTCTTCAATTCTTTCAATTGCCCTTCACGTCATTCTTCATGAAGCAAGGCAATGAGAACACATATTTTATTACTCATTGGTGTGAGTCATTCCACATCAAGTAAACTAATCCTAGGCTGGGGACATTTTTTTTCTTTGGAAAGAAAAACAAGATTGTCACTCAGGACCTGACAAGTATATTAATCATTCACAGAAATGTATAACTCATACTTCACACATGACCTCCTGTTTTTTTTAAAGGTCTATCAAAACCTTTAAGGCTAAAAATTGGCTGCAAATAATTTATTCTGGTTGTCTAATTCTCTTAGGAGACAAAGCCATACAGAAGTAAGGCTTACTACTCTTAAAATAAAAACAAAGATAGGCTAAAATTAAAGTCTCCGGACAGATCATTTTAGTTGATATCATAAGTACCATGCCATGCCATCTGTCCCTCTGTCAGACAGCTTGTCTGCCTCTTGATCTAACATAGGATGCATGTGGTAATAAAAGTGACAGGTTTTATAGTTTCATTTTGTTCCTTTACTTTTAGACCAGCAAACAAAATGGGAGATCGTTAAAGAAGAGGGCTCAAGACTTCCTACTAAAGTGGAGCTTTTTTGGGGCTCGAGTGATGCACAATCTCACCTTGAACAATGCATCAAGTTTTGGTATCCTACATGCTTCATAAGAATCTTTCATGATTTACTCCTCCTCTATGCACAGCTCTTATCATTTTTTAAACCCTCAACTTCTCGAACCATATCTTAATCCCAGCTTAGTAGAAATGATAGTTGTATACCAGGGTTTGGGAGTCCGGCTACATGTGGGATTAAGTCCTGCCATTGCTTGCTCCTGCTGTGGCTTTATCCAAGCTTGTCTGCTCACAGAAGAAGGGGAAGAATGTTCTTTTCATAAGGTTGCGTAGATGTTGTCAACAGAACCCTCTGGCTTTGCACTCTGTGAACATTTCAAGAGTAGTAGTTATTGTCATTATTTTACATTAGCCTTTGGCTGGCATATTTTCTGTGTCAAATGAACAACCGCATAAACAATAATTAAGACCTTAGCCCCAGTGGTATCATTTCTTGTAGTACAGCAAGTATTTGAAATTTTTCTTGACACCTCTTAGCTTTACTCTGGGGAATCAAGTAACCACTTAGAAAACAGACTCTGGAGTTTCTGAACTATCTTTACTGACCGCTAGAACTTACAAAATAAGTCAGGTCAAAATATATCTTTCAAAAATTCAGTAGTCTCTTTTCCTTAAAATTTCTGAGATTCCTTTGTAACAACTGTAGTGTTAAATTATGATGTTAACTGCATTTCATAGTTGCCTTTCAAGAAGTATTCACATTATGAGATAGATTATAACTAATTTGTTTTATTTTAATGCTAAATTAAATCAGTAAACTTTCACTGATGGATAAGCAAAATGTTTGGATATATATGTGTATATGTATATATGTGTATATACTTACTGCTATTTTAACTTTCTTAAAAAACGGCATCAAAGTCAGACTTTATTATAAAGGGATAAAAAGAGAGACTTTCTTGGAAATCAAATAATTAAAAGAACATTTAAAATTTTTCAGTCTATTTTTCACATGGAAGTATTCTTTTGGGTTTTGTTTCAAGTCAAAGTATATTTTGTTTCCAGCTGGAGAGACACCTTACTAGATAAAATTGTATACCATGTTGGCCATTGTCTACTTATTTAGTGCAAAGTCAACAGCAATAGAGCCGAGTAGAGCTCATTCTCTCCAGGCTGAAGCTTATCACTTGGCAGTGTGTGCCCTCTTAAAAGCATAAAGCACGTCTCACTTTCATCCGTTTTTTTCCTTTGATGTAATTAGTGGTCAAAGAGCTCACAAGACAGTACACATGGGTGAGCTGGGCAGGTGGTACACAGAAAGATTAGAGACTGAAGTTAAGCATGTTGGTCTTAGCAGGTCATTTAAAGTCCAACAAGTATTTGTTTAGTCCAGTTGCTCCTTGTAAAGTGTGGTGAGATGGTCACAAAGATAAGTTGACGGCTCTCTCTCTCTCTTTCTCTCTCACCTCTTTGTCCTCTCTCACCTACATATCCTCTTTAATTTCTTCGTCCATAAATAAGGTTCTTTCCACTTGATCCGAATGCTTCTTGATGAATATATTCTTCTGGCCATGGAAACTCAGTTTAATAATGACAAAGAACAGGAGTTACAGAATTTATTGGACAAGTATATGAAGAATTCAGGTAACTTAAAAATAGCGACTTATATTTCTTTGATTAAGCCTAAATTCCAGAATTTGTGGTGCTCAAGTTAAGTGGGTTTCTAATAGTCTCAGATATATATTTTTTTCTTTTGAACACTGTGGTACTAACATCACATCCAAACACTAATGGATCACTATTTTCTCCCATGCATATATGAATTAGTTATTTACTGAAAACACTAGTTTAGAAGGTTGATAGTCTTGATTTCTAAGGACTTAAGTGAAATTGGAAATTGATTATAATACAAAATTTAACTATAATTAATATAACACATGTGAGATACTACTAATGGTATAAAAATAAGCTCTACAAGAGTTTAGCACTTAAAGGGTACGCATCTGTTTGGGATGGGAAAACTTGCATTTTTAAAGACTTTATTCCAGAGAAGGTTATTTAATATCTCTTAAAATACACCAACATCTACCAATATACCGTTAACAAAACCCCGCATCATTGTCAAGAACAAAGGTTAACTATCTTTGTTTCCTGGGAAAATTAAGTGCTTAGCTATTTTCAGATTCATTAGCAAACCATAAAACATTCCATTGTCTTTTATTTGGGCTTATCAGTTAGGAATATGGGGCAGGGGGAAATCTCAGCTTTCTTACTCTAAAAATCTTTCCAGATGCAAGTAAAGCTGCCTTCACTGCTTCCCCAAGTTCCTGCTTCCTGGCAAACCGTAATAAAGGCAGCTCGGCGTCCAGTGATGCGGTGAAGAACGAAAGCCATGTGGAGACCTCTTACCTTGCCCTGTCATCCAGCCAGCCTGGAGGCTTGCCCCCTGCTCTTCACCCATTCCCTGCTGAAAGCACAAACAACATGCCTCTCACAGGTGTGCTAGAAGTAGCAAAGACAACCAGGGAGACACCAACTCATCTGCTTCCTTTAATATTCCTAACCTCCAGGGATCCTAAAAGTTAAAGGAAAAGGATCATCTTAATTGACTGAAATGCAGCATTTCATTTAAAAAAATTATAAGATTTTTAGCTATTAAAGATTTATAATGTACTTGCAATTTCCAGCAATTACCATTCACATTTATATTCATACCCTCTATATAAGTTATATGAAAAGGATAAATTGGTCATGTGGTGCATTCCTATAAATTTAGTACTCAGAGGGTGGAGGGGAGGATCACAGGTTTGAGTCTGGCCTCATGTATGTCGTGAACTTTTGACCAGTCTGGGCTACATAGCAAGACCATGTCTCAAAAGGGATAAGAAAGGTCATAAATAGTTCTTTTTTTATTTTGTAAAAGAAAAAAAAACTATGTCAAATATACCTAAAATCTTTAAGACATATTTTTTTGGTTGGTTGTGGGGCTTGAACTCTGGACCTGGGCACTGTCCCTCAGCTCTTCAGCTCAAGGCAAGTGCTCTACCACTTGAGCCAGAGCGCCACTTCTGGTTTTCTGGAGGTAAGAGTCTCATGGAGTTTCCTGCCTGGGCTGGTTTTGAACTGTGATCCTCAGTTCTCAGCCTCCTGAGTAGCTAGGATTACAGGCGTGAGCCACCGGCACCCAGCCTTTAAGACATTTTTGAAGATCAAAAATACAACTGTTTGTTTGTTTTTTTGGCTATTGATGAGATTTCTTCTTCATGGAAAAGTAGATAGAACTTAAAGTTATGTTATAAAGTCATCATTACCGTCGTTTCCCAGTTTGGTCTATGGTCCTCTTTTGTGCCAACATGAAAGTTTAGTGACTTCAACTAACTACCAGAGATGATTGGAAATCAGTTCATTTTCTTGTGTCTGTTTTTAAAGTCTTTCATATACATCAATTCCTTGAAAGGCCTTATGATTCTTTGGTTTAATTACACCAAGGGAAAGTTGGAGGCCCAGGGAATTGGTGGCACCCACGAAGCGTCTGTTTGTCAGTGTTGGTGTGCTCTTTTGAATGAACTGCTTTGCTTTGAAGTTATGGCCACTTTGATACAAGCGCACTTTTCTCTTACTCTAAGATCAACCCGTTTTACATTCAGGTCGTTTATTTGTCAGAGAGAAATGTGAAAAGCAGAGCCTCTTGCTCTCCCCAGGTATGAGTCCTGCTATTTACATATGTGTAGAAGCTAAAGCCGTTGAGAATATTCTCGGCTCTCATAAATACTAAGTCTTCAGTACTGTGATTATTGTGATTCTTAGTGTTCTCTATTGCCATTACTTCTGGAGGGTAAGAATGAACTAAACTGAGAAAAAGATGCATTTGTAAACCTGTTAAATGTGGTTTTTTTTTTAAAGATCCAAGCCCATTTATTATACTAGACTATCTAATGAACACACTATAATTTTTTTTTCCAGGCCAAATGGAGCTTTCACAGAGTGCTGGTCATCTGATGACACCACCTATTTCTCCAGCCACCGCAAGCCGCGGAAGTGTCATTAACCAAGGGCCAATGGCAGGGAGACCCCCCAGTGTGGGCCCTGTACTGACAGTCCCATCACACTGCTCAACATACCCAGAGCCCGGTTATCCTACCCTCCCGCAAGCCAACCATGACTTTTATGCCGCTAGCCCTAACTATCAGACTGTGTTTAGGGCACAGCCCCATCCCTCGTCAGGACTCTATCCACATCGCTCAGAGCATGGGAGATGCATGGCCTGGACAGAACAGCAGCTTTCCAGAGACTTCTTCGGTGGCAGTTGTGCTGGATCTCCCTATAATTCTCGGCCACCTTCCAGCTATGGACAATCCTCACATGCCCAAGAGTTTTTAAATGCAGGAGGCTTCAACTTCCTGAGCAACGCAGGGACTGCCAGCTGCCAGGGAGCAACAGTGCCTTCAAATTCACCAAATGGTATAAAAATTTTAAACCTTTTATTTTCTGGCTTTTGAGAAGGTAATAGAGCAACATCAGACATCAAGTTCTACATCCCCTTAGTAATACATCACCCACGTAAGATGTAGAGAGATCACAGACGCTTAGATATTTGAAGCTAATTTTGCCATACAGAAGCAGAGTCCTTAATTCTGGTGTCTTTATTCTAGTTTCTTTTCTAAATGTAACACACAATTAAAAAAAAAACATGTCAAGCACTTTTCTTTATGTCAAACAATACCTTAGTAGGCCCAAAGTCTTCTTTTGAAAGAAGACACTATCATTTGAAAATATTTTTAGGAGAGTATATTTCTTCAAGAAAGTGGAAACATTTCCCCTGTTAGGTAAATAAAAAGTTGAAGTTGTCCAGTGCTGGTGGCTCATGCCTGTAATCCTAGCTCCTCAGAAGGCTGAAATGTGAGGATTGTAGTTTGAAGCCAGCCTAGGCAGGAAAGTCTGTGTGACTCTTATCTTCATTTGATCACAGAAAAAGCTGGAAGTAGAGCTGTGGCTTAAAGTGGTGGAGGGCAGACTTTAGCAAAAGAAGCTCAGGGTGAACTTTACAAATTGGGTGGAAGAAGTGTTGGGGGGAAAGGAAAATGGGAGAAAACGAGGGGGTAACAATGTTCAACAAGAAATGTATTCATTACCTTACTTATGTAACGGTAACCCCTCTATACATCACCCCTACAATAAAATAAAATAATTTTTAAAAAATACGCTAAGGGACAACACCCAGGCACCCCAGAGTTTAAGCTCCAGGACTGTGAGGGAAAACTTAACGGTAAGGGGCCTCAAAAGAACTGGAGTTTAGCTAATGAGGTAGACTTACATGTAACAATTCTGAAGATTTTTCTAGTAAGTGCAGGCCAGTCCTTCTCTCATGTGCATAAATTTATAAATAAAAATCACATAAAAAGCAATAAAATATGAAAAGCTGGGAGTGCTTTTCTTTCTTTATGGGTAGGTTTTATTAACTTAAAACTGTGGCACATGTATAGCCTATGTTTCAAAATTCATAGTATGACCATTCCCCTTGAAGACTCAAAAATAGTACCGTAAACCACATCTGTATATAAGCACAAATTCAACCCTCGATTCAAGGTAGATACTGATATAATATTTAAGGGTTTATCTTCAGGACTGTACATAATCACATTGCATTGTTTCCACCCCAGAATGTTTCTTGTAATAATCTAATGGTACATTCTTAACCCCTTGTGTTCCAGAGTACTATGGAAGTAATATCAACTACCAAGAGGCTCATAGGCTTGGGTCTATGGTGAACCAGCATGTTTCAGTCATCAGTAGCGTTCGCTCTCTGCCTCCGTACAGTGACATCCACGATCCCCTTGACATTTTAGATGACAGCAGTAGAAAGCAGACCAGTTCATTTTATGCAGACACACCTTCTCCAGCTGCGGGTCGGACTCCAGTAGTTGGTAAGTTGTTTTGGTTGGTCATGTAAACATGTAAAAAACTGGTGAACCTCAGATCTACAGCCTAACTCGAGGGGAGGATGTTGAGGTGCACTAGGCACGCATAATCCCATAACAAATTCATCACTTTGCACCTGACATTGCACTTTGTGTTACTAATTGTATATTCATGTAGAAGCAGTTTTGGTGTCTCATTCTATAAATTATTGATGTGAAACTCACTGCTCTATTATAATTTTTAAAAAGAATGGCTGGCATTTATTATGAATGCAAAAATATTATATATTCTGTCATGTGCAATCTAATGACAGTAAATATTATGAAGAGAGTAATGATGTCATTTTCTGCTGATCATTGTTGGACCCACTGACAGTTCTAAGAAGTGTTTTTGGACCCAATGATTTCCATGCCAAATCACTGCAAGTTTAAAAAAAAAGGTATCTTGTAATAGAGGTCACTAGCATTTTCTCAAAAACGTGATTAAAATGTGATGCAATAACTCTTTAGAAAAGGATGCTATATTTTCATTGTTTCATAACTTAAGTAAAACTGAATAAATCAGTCAGCATGTCAGGAAGTCTCTTAGCTTTTTTTCTAGCCATGTTACTATTCCTGAGCCTCTTTCCATGAAAAAAGTCTACAATGTAATATTAAATACATCATTAGTATTTTGCACAGTGCTAGAACTCAGTGAATCAGTTAGAGAAAGAAGGAGTAAAAAGTAAATTTAGGACTGGTAGATCACTTGTCTAACACATGTATGGACATATGTACCAAGCATACATGCAAAAAGAAGAGAAAAGAAGGGAAGAGGAAAGGAATGGGAAAATGGAAGGAAAGGAGAGAAGAAAAGAAAAGGTGAGAGAAGAGGAGAGGAGAGGAGAAGAAAGGGGAGGAGAGGGGAGGAGAGGAGAGGGGAGGAGAGGAGAGGAGAAGAGAAAAAAGCCTGGCAAAAAGCCAGATGTGGAAGTATGGCTCAAGTGGTAGAGTGCTAGCACACAGTCTGTAATGGTTTTGAGGCTAAATCTAAGCACAAATTTAGTTCCCAAAATTAATAAAGTACAACAGAGCAAGCATACATTCATTGACTATCTGGGCAGAGTGTTCATGTTTATATGAGACATTAAAAATCTTCAATGGAATTGATTTTAGACTAGCATAAGTAAAGGCCATTGACACCTAACTGGAGCATAAGGGAAAATGAAATAAATTACATCTCTCCTCACTCAGTGTACTTTTTCAATAATTCAATAGGAAGTACTTCTTCCCTTCCTGTGACCATCACAAATGTCCCCAAGCTCATCCCCTGCTTTCTGCAAATAGTCATCGCTTCTAGGTTACTCTAATGAAGCAGAAAATTCCACTTCAGGAAGTTTCCTCACCATCAGGCTACAATGTACCATGTTACTATTAGTTCTATTTACTCATGGAGATAATGGAAGCTTTGATGGAGCATAGGTTGGGGAGTTGGATGAATTCAAAGCGTCGATTGTCAGAGCTGGCTAACAGATTGCAAAGGGAGAATAGAGTAAGTAGTACAAGGGCATTGGGACCCACTAGAGATAGATTCCATTATTTATAAAGACTGGTCTTTGGCGACCATGAACTTGTCACTTCAGCAGTGAGAAGACAGCAATCATGCACAAGGGAAATACAGACAGCGCACTCTGATGTTTTTGGAATAGCTATGTAATCAAGCCACAATTCCTGCCTAGAGGAAGTTTTCACTCTAGAATGGGAAGAATAAGGCAACAAATATATTAATAAATGCATTAGGATGATAATTTCATGTTTTCTAGAGAGGATTAAAATGAAGTAAAATGACAGATGGTCAGGGAAGATGGTTGGGAAGGGAATCTCGAGGCAGAAATATTTGAATTGAAAGCTGAGTAAACAAGGAAGTATTAACATGATTTGATAGTGGGGTTCTAGAAGAGAAACAGCAGTTACAGAGTCTGAAAGGAGATTGGGTTTGGAATTTTCAGTGGACAGAAAGTGAATGTGGATTGAGTATGATGGGTGAAGAGCAGAGAGAAACAAGATAAATTTACAAAGATCAGGGATTGGTTCATGTAGGGTTTTATGAACCAGAGCAAGAAGCTTGAGATTTTCTCCAACATAATACCAAGACACTATAGTACTTGACAAAAGAGAAAATAATTGCTTGATACTTCAGCAAGATCATCCCATCTGCATTCTGAAAAAAAGAAAGAGACAAAGGTGAGAGTTCTGGTACAATGAGGAACTGCTGGGTCTGTTCAGGCAAGAGAAGATGGTAGTTCTACTCTAATTTACAATTCTAGGGGAAGAGGACATAGACCAGTGACATATGCTGTTGCAGGGCTTAAGATGACACTGAGTTTCCTCTGTGAAATATGTAGGAAAAAAGCAACATTTTCCAAGATGAAATGGAAAATATGACTGTTTTGAAAAGCCATATCTACTCAAATTTAAAAGAGGTGGGTTTTTAGGAAGATTTAAGGGCAGAATTGGATATGGTTTAAAATCAGAAGTATTTTTGAAATAAAAATAATATGTATGTACAGTTATAAAAATATAAAAAGGTAGGTGTATGTGCTATGTGCAAACATAAATGCAGAGGCCAAAAGTGAATGGTGCTTGCAGAGAAAAGAATGTGCCAATGACTTAGCAATTTCTTATTGTATTTTCCCTTCCAGCTTCTAGCTTGCAAACCCCAATTTCTTCCTCCTCATCCCAATGTATGTATGGAACTTCTAATCAGTATCCAGTGCAAGACACTCTGGATTCCCACGGAGCAAACAACAGAGAAATGGTGTCCTCCTTACCACCCATCAACACGGTGTTTATGGGAACAGCAGCCGGAGGCACTTAAGCCAACAATATCGGGCAGGGTTGAAACTTTCAAATTCTCTAATATCATATTGACCAAGAACCATGAGAGTAAAGGAAATGGAACACATAGTGGTTGGACATTGTTTTCCAAGCCACTGGTACCATGGACCTCCACAGTAGGAGAAACGATTTTCAGAGTTGGCCTTGCACATACAAAGACGTTAAAATCTGATCTCATTCCTAGTCATAGTTTCAAACATTAGTGAATGAAACCAGTGGAGATAAGAAGTTGTAAAGATTTCAACAATGAATAGTTAGTGTTTCACTTTTTAATTTATTGAAAATCTATGTATAATTATTCATCTTTGGATTCTAAAGAAGAGAAAAAGTGTATTTAATGCTTTTGCAATATCTTTAATTTATTAGGATCTCAGAATGATTGTTTACTATCCGTTATTTGACAAAAAGTCAAATATCTATGTTCTACCTCCTATGGAAATGTTTACAAGGTCAAGACAATTCAATTCAGCCTAGACCCAAGTGCTTGACTTTCAGTTTCTGTGTATTAGTTTGATGATTTCTGTTACTTAATAGAAATAATAAAAGCTTTCTCCTCTTTATTTAAAAATGTAAAAAAATAAAAGAAATACTGTATGGAAATATTTTCAAAGGCTTGAGTGCTCTTGGGGTTGATACTTCCTTTGGGGATGAAGTGAAAGAGCAAAGCTGGTTTTGGCCAAGACATTATAATTCAAGAATATTTACATATCATTTACATACCCATAATACTAAGACATTGTGACTTTTAGAAAACTTGAACTCCTTCATACTTGAAGGCAACATGTTATCAAATACTTTGTTAGAAATTGAGAGTGAATGATTATTCAGGAACCATCTAGTTGCAAAAGCTAATTCAGAAGTGGACAGCTCATTACATCCCGGTGAATATGACTTGATAACACCATCTATGTGTTTCTTTTACTTTTTCTTACATCTTGGTTGAAAGATTTGTTGTAAGAGTCATGGCTGATACCCAGGTATTTTCATCAGCTTAAATACTCTTCAGAGGGGGGGGCTTTTCTATTTGTTATGAATATATGATTTAAATGAGTAATAAGGCTATACTGTAAGCCCCAGGTTCATCATAAAAAATTTATGAGCTCCAAATATCCATTATTACCATGATACAGTTTGGTAGAAACAAACTGAAATTGTTTTTTAGCAAGCGGTGAACCTTTGGACATGTGACTACAAAGCTCACAGACTCACAACCTAGAGAGACAAACAAGAAGAATGGGGCTAGAAGAGAGAACAGCACAGGTGGGGGGAAACATATTGGTGAGGGACCCCGGTAACAGCAGTGGTGCCCTTCTCCAGTGGGGCACTGCCTTGACCTGCTATAGAAACGGAGAGCAGCTGTGCCAAATGCTCCCCAGCTGTGCTGAGGAGCAATACCAGTTCTAATGTCCACTTAAAAGTGCTCTTTAGCCATTCATGGCACGGCTGCTTCAACTGTCCTTGTAGATCCTCTACAGTGTACATTTCTCCTTCTGCAGATGAACGTGATTAAGCAGTGTAACATCTCATTGGTTTCATTTGTAAAGGAATTTATTCTCATACACATGAAGACCATAAAATAGGGCTAGGAATATTGACGTTCTCTTTACATTTAAAATTATATAATAAAATCATAAAAGCCAAACATTATTAATGACATTGCCATACGTATACATGTTATGAAATGTCTAAGTCATTCTAAACACACCCTTCTCCTTGAACATGTGATTTTTTACTTATGGTGAACACATTCAAACTCCTTTCTTTTTTTTTCTTTTCTTTTATTTGTGAACATACTGTACAGAGGGGTTACAATTACATGGGCAGGATAATGCCTACATTTCTTACCAAGCATTGCAGCCTCCTCCTTTGTTTACCCTTCACCTCCCTTCCCAGCCTCCCCCCTCCCCCCACCCAATCCTTTCCCCCCTCCCCCCCAAACTTCTTCTAGATTTTTAAATATATAGGTGGTACACTTACATTCTCCACGCCTCAAAATTTTGTTATTTTATTGCTTTGCTTTCGTTATTTTTACGTTGTTAAGTAGTTGTACAAAAGAGTTTCAATTTAACATATCAATTTATGAGCAAAACGCATCTTGGTCAATGCCACCCCTTCCATCATTCTCCAAAATTTTTTAGAGAGAGGATAAATGCAAGAGAGAAAGAAGGAAGAAGTGGGAGCTGGAAGAAAAGGACAGAGATAGAGGGAGAAAGCAATACCTTTGAGATCATTGAATTCTGCAAGTCAAACCCCAAGTTCCAACCTTTCCAATAAGCACAAGGCAAATGAGAGCGATAAGACTGAATCCCCAAAAAAGAGACTTGGGTTTTAATAGATAAATAAATGAAACTAATTGCCTTACAAAAGTCACAGTAGCAGCTATGAACTCTTATGAGGCCTGGAGTAGTATTAACACTGTATTTTAGGGCAGATTTACAAACCAGGGTGAGTTATCTTTCAGAAAAGTAAACAGTGGTGATTGTGACATATGGAACATTTTGTTCTTTGGGAAAGATAAGAAATGATGAATTTATATAAGAGGTTATCACATCATCTCATCCAATTATTGAATTCTAAATTAAATTCATGCTTTTATACCTGGTAGGGAATACATCCTATCTGTTCAAAGCCCCTATGATTAGATGAAAATGAACACAACTGCAGTTATTGATTGCAGGTATTAGCAATGAGTGAGAAAGAGTGGTCAGTACTTATGAGTGTTTAGTCACAAAGCCTCACCCCTGTTCTAATTCATGTCCTCATGTATGTTTCTAATATCAAAATTCAAGAAATGATCATTTTTAGTCCTTCTGATGGCAGCAGAAATATTTCTTATTTTAAAAACTATTTTCCAGAACAAGTAGAATAATTTAATTTACTTTTTTGTTTCCTTTCTGGCAGAATTTAATCCAGTTGAAGAGATTTCTGTTGTAATTCCAATTTCTCCTCTTTTTTACTTATGGGAAACAGTACTGAGGTTTGATCTTGAGGTCTTGTGCATGCTGTGGAGCTACTCTGCCGAGTACTTGGTTGGTGCTTCCTCCTGACTTTTGCTTTAGTTTTTCAGATAGGTTTCATTTTTTCTCTCAGGGGCAGCCTTTTACCTAAGGTTCCCACATAGGAATCAGATTACAGGTGCAGCACCACACTCAGCCTATTTCTTTTCTTTTCTTTCTTTTTTTTTTTTTTTGGTCCAGTTGTGGGCCTGAACTCTGGGCCTGGGTGCTGTCCCTCAGTTCTTCACCTCAAGGCTAGCGCTCTACCACTTGAGCCACATAGCCACTTCCGGCTTTTTTTTCTGCTTATATGGTGCTGAGGAATTGAACCCAGGGCCTCATGCATGCGAGGCAAGTACTCTACCATTGAGCCACCTTCCCAGCCCTCAACATATTTCTTGAGAGAGGGTCTCACTCCCTTTCTTGTATGGAAGAGTTTAGTGTTCAGAATAAGTGTGGAAAAATGCTCATGAGTCTTTCTAACTTTAGTAATGACCTTGGTAATTTGTGGGTACAACATAAAAAACTCACATGGATGTTAGAATTTGCAGAGGGTACACAAGGTTAGTGAAGAAAGTAAAGCTGAGATTTTTACAAACTCCAAATACTGAAATATTTTTGAAAATAGCTTTTCTTCTTGCTTCTTGGAGGAAGAAGTTAGTTTGCAAATTGTAAATATGTAACTAGGTCTTTAAGCCACTTCTATGTATCACACAGCAACACGTAATTATGGAAAATAATCCTATAGGATTCTTTATGAAGGTTTAAAAATAGGATTCCTTTTAGCAAATATAAACAACTTTCAGTAGAATTCTCCACCAATTCAATCCTGGTCTTCCTTTCTTGAGAAAAAAACCATCATTTAAATAACAAAGAAAAGAAAAATACAGCAATATTTTCACATGGCATTTTCCCATATTGCTGGCATGACTGATTTTAGTTCTAAAGTTACAGGGACCTAAAGGTGAAGAGATGAAAAGTGAGATTTCTCCCTGGGATGCAGAGTCTTCAAATACTGAGAAGCACATTTACAAAAGTGAAAATTTAACTACATAATATGATAGGGAGCCTAAAGTAAAGAGAAACCATTGTTTTTTATTAGTCACAAACAAAGACGTGTTCTTACCAATCAATATTCAGAATGAAGGTCAGAGATTTACAGCCCGCAGCCATCTTTAAACACACTGAGGCAAATATGAGCTTTGTGGGCAGTTTGTTCATGGAGATTTGTCATTTGGCTTTGTGTACTTTAGCTTATTAATGTACTACATGTGATCTCCATGAAAAATAAAACGGGGTCAATATTTTACATTTAAAAAGAGACCAGGTTTCCTACCTTTGAGGACAATACATCTAGACCATTCATCGCAACACCCCCATCCCACAATTTTGCATTCATTACTCGTTTTCTGGACACCTGTATAATTTCTATCACCATTTTTACCCCCAGAAAAACTTCACCTCAAAAATGTATCTGCAGGGGTTATTTAAAGTGCTCTTGGAGGTTCTTGGAGAGCCTCAGAGAAAGAGTCTGGGCTTGACTGAATGTGGGATGAAAGTTAACCCATTGGCCTATCACTGATTCTCTTGTGTGTGGTAGCGGAAAAAGTAGCCAAGATAAATAACAACACACACACACACACACACACATAGACACACACACACAGACACACACACACAGACCCACACACACACCCCAAGTCTCTAGCACCTACTTCAGTGCTTAGAAGCTCAGCCTGGTAAAATACCCTGTGTAGCTTTTCCTGTATTTCTTGGACTTATATGTATAAGAGGACGCACCTGGGAACAGATAAATCTGAGAAGGTCTTGAGTTCTCTGAGGAAAGGCATCATCCCAATATTTCCAGATTCAGTGAAATGGTTACTCGCGTTTCTAGTAAGATATAATGCTACAGTTCACACAAAATAGAATTCTAAAGTGAAGTCCAAATAGGAAGCAACTTAAAACACAGTGAACAGATCTG